AAAGTTGGCACTGGAAGTTTTTGCTGTTATTTCAGGTTTATTTTACTAATTATTGCATAATTGCCCCAGTTTTCAGAGATTGTCCTATTTTTACAGAGATTCATCACAATATTCATCTAACATTTCTCAGGACAACATTTTTCCTCCCCTGTTTTCCATGATATGTACAGGAGTACAGTTTGGGATAAGTTTCAATTTCCAGAGGATTTGCTGAAGAGTCTCCCTGAAAGGAAGCAAGATGGAAGCTCTGCTGGGACAGAAGTTGCATGAAATACACACCTGCCATTTGTGGTTTTGCCCTAACCAGTGTTCACCCAAAAGACAGCATAGCAATGCTTCCAAAATTTTTAATGGAAAGGCTTCTGACTGTGCCACTAGGTACGACAATGTGAAGCAAAAAGTTGGGAATTGTTTAATATGTTAACAAACTGAGAAAAGAATCCTTGAAAAATCAAGCTGAAAAATTAACTTCTTTTATTTTTTTGCTTTTTTTTTTGTTGCTGAGCACGAATATTTCACCATTATTATCTGGATAAATGCCCTTGACTCTTTCAATCTAGTCCTGTTTATATTTATTTTATTTTATTTTTAGTAAAATACAATTTAGTAAAATACAATTCCAGAGATGAGTATAGCTTTATGATTGGCATTAATACACATCAGTGTAGTCTATGGCTATGTTTTAAATTGTAAGCTATCATCACCATAATCTTCTATTCTGAATATTGGCCATATTATTTCAGTAAATGGAAGCATGATCATAATTCAAACTGAAACACAAATAGCTACCATTTATACAATGTTTTCTTTTTTATAAAACCCACATAATAGAAGCAAACTGACAAGTTTTTTGGGCAAATTCCAGGATAAGTTAGAGGATTATGGCAATGTCTGACCACTCAGCTTTCTGCCCCTTCCAGAGCTTCACTGCTGTAAGTGGTAATCAGTGTCCACAATGATAAGACAAAGACCATGCAAGGTGGTCAGTGCTTTCTGGACTGCCATCATACTAACAATCATTTTGGTTTTAACTGTGTTTGTTTTTGAATGAGCATTAACTAGACTCCAGATAAATGGTTGCTATACTAAAGTTCAGAGAGTTACTGAGAATTACTGTTTTTAATGACTATTAACCATATTCCAGAGAAATGGTTGTTTGCTGTACTGAAGTATAGCGAACTACATACTTCTAATGAGATCTTGAGAAGTAAAATACGACTTGCAGGCTCACAACTTACAAGTGAACTCTCACACTTCTTATCATCATTACGTTTCAGGTGACAGAATTTTACTCATCAATATTTCCAATAATTATGTGACAGTGGATTTCAGTTTCTTAGATACCTGCTTGCCTGATCTAGGACCTAGAATGCCATGTACTTTCTTTCCAAGCTTCTTTTCCTCAAGGAGTATTATCTCTGCTAGCTCTATGGCACTTTATCCTCACACTCTGTGGATAAGATCGTGTGGACCATTTGAAGGTATTTGCTGAATCCTAAGCAGCTCACTATCATTTAGGAAGGAAAAGAGCATGCAGTGCATGGAGGATGAAGGCCTCCTCGTGATGCAGTGTAACAATGAAATCGTTTTTAATTCCATGGCATTTACTTTTGTTGTCAGAAATTATGTAAGGCAATCTAAAAGGAGATAAAATTGTATGAATCTTTTCCAAGGTACAGCTTAATAAACGTGCCAGGCCATCAGGGCCTGCCCTATTCTTTTTTGAAAGAACCACAGACCACACTGAAAGTCATTTTGACCTTTGAGTATTTCCATTTGTTTTAGATTTGTTAAAGGTGGGTACACTATAAATATTATGATTTTACATTAGTCTTTTTAACGTTGCCATGTCTCTCAAAAAGGCTTTGGAAATCATCCAATTCTTTACAATAACCTAAAAATAACCTGCACTATATTGCCGCAGAAATAGACACTATTTTATTTATAGTCACTGTCATAAAATTTTACTGTTTTCAGTGTCCTGTGGAGCACAGAAAACTCACCTACAAATTTGATATAGGAGAAAGCATATATCAAATAACTCTCTACTCAGAATTCTTTTTATACAAATGCATAACTCAATTCAACTCAAATATTTATTGAGCATCTACTCTAGTTCAAGTGCTGTAATAAATATAATAACATGACATAGTCTTTTTGTTAGATCAATTCTGTTGGGGGTCTTTACAATTTTTTTCAAAATTCATAAAATCTTGTTTTTCCTTTTGTAGTTGGAAAGTTACAAGTAATCTGTTTTCCAAATAAATGGAGGCATTTTCTTCCACTTCATGTCCGGAATTTACCTATGTAATTATCTACACTTCTCACACACTGTTCCTTTAAAACAGGCTACTTTTTAAGAAAGTTGTTGAAAGCCAGGTGATTCACTTAACAACTCAAAGAATATTGTCAGGATTATTTTCAGACATTCAGTCTTCTGGAGAAATCCAGGTAGCGCTGGACTGGTGGGATCAGGGCCAGGAAGGTGAGAGCATCTGACTCACAGAACAGGGAAGGGATGAGGGACAAGAGGACCTAGCACATGCCATATCCACCTAAGTAAGAGAGCAATAATAGTAACGTAAACATCTAGGGAAAGAGGCAGACTTCTGTAGGGGTCAAGGAGCCTTTGGGGTAGAGGAAGGGCACTCAAGTTGAGAAGGGTTGGTAACATCCTGGCATTAACAGAAAGGCAGCTGTGCTTTGAGTTTCAGAACGGGAGCCAAGGAAGTTTTTATGCACATATTCCAGTGATAAAGGTTTATAGAAGGTGCCAAGAGGACAGATCTGTTTGTCACTAATCCCCGTCATTAGGTTATATAGATTTGGGATAAACAGGAGGTGGGGAGGGAGAGATAATTATTTTTTTTAAGATACTTAACTGAAATTTCGTCTAAGCTCTAAATCATTTGTATATCTTTTTGCCTTGTTGTGCTATAACTTCTTGATTATGCCTGTTTACTTCCAACCATAGAAATAGAATTCATAAGTCTAGACATCTTGACAGGATATTTCTACAGAACACAGTTTCTCATTTTGTTCTAATATACAACATTCTAGTATTTAAGATTATGTGTAAGTTTAATAAAATGTAATTCTATATACCAATTATTAACTCCCTTTCCATCGTAGATTTCCAGAGGAAGAGGATTTGATTACTAGTTACCTGCCCTGTATGTGGAAGCATGAGATAGACAACTTTAAAACAGTGTCTTTAATAAATTCAGAATTATTACCTTCTCATATACATGAAAACTATGTGACTTCATCTTAATTAGGTTTACAAATTATTATGAATATTAGTGCACTTATAGAAATAAATGAAAATAGGTCTGATGTATATGTATGCCTCTTAATGCAATCTGCCTCCATAATAATATCTCTAACGGACTTCAAGATTTATATAAATATAAAATTTCCATAGTTTCCATTTCACTATAGCTCAATTAACAAAGTTCCAATCTGACATATGGAATATTAGTTTTTTCCTTGAGTAAAATTTTTCAGTTTTGTTATTCACAGTCATTGGTTTGCATGACCCTACAATTTACTTCTATGATGAAAAAAACATTTTTAAACAAAAATTGTGGTCAATGAATAAAATGTCATAATTCATTAGAATTTTAAGCTACCTGATAAAAAGTAGAGTAAGATCTCTATTAACCGACCAAAGTAAGTAACAAAACTCTATTCTCTTTCAATAGCTAACTGTATGAGTTTCTTAGCTTTATGAGTCTTCAGGTAGTAGTCTTTCTATTTACCTAAAAAAAAAATCAGAGTGTTTCTCAACCTAGAATGACAGGGAAAAATAAACCACAATAAAATGAGAGAAAAAAATTAAAAGTATTAATTTGCATTCCAAGATACCAAGACTCAGAAACCTATCTGGAAATCTCTAAGACCTACAAGACCTCTCAGTAATTGTAAATGTCTTCACAATGGCTCCAGAGATTATTTAAACTAACTAGATGCATTGAAAGTCACCATTCACAGAACTAAAAATACACCAATGTTTTAACAAGAAGCTTCTTATGATTCATAGCTCTGGTAGCATTTTTAAGTTCCATGAAATATATTTAACTTTGAACTTAACTGAAACTACCTTACACAAGAGCCTTTTATAATTTCTCACATCTTTCAGTCTGAAAAATCAGTTCTGACTGAGGATAGAGAAGTGTTATTGTCTACATTTTTCTATAATAATGTAGATAAAAAGAATATTATGTCTCCTCTAGTAAATAGCATATGAGCTTAAAAAGTCCACCAACTGACACGTCTGAACATTTTCCACTTCCTTCCAAAAGATGAAAAATCACATCAGACAGGAAACAGATTCTTTAGATTAGTGGCAGGTGTAGAACACATACACCAGTCAGTGTACATTTTCAGTGTCGACAGGCATCCTCAGTGACAGAGAGTGCAACTCTCCCTTTCATTGAAGGGACACACATAATATTATTCCTTCTTCTACACATCACCAATCAGAGAAGTTCCCAAGCAACAAAACTACCTGCTTTTGGTCGAACATCAGGCTACTCTTAAAAGATTTAAAAGTCAGTACTAAAGAGAGGATGATGATGATGATGATCATGGCCATGATGATGGGTCTAGTTTAAGAAATTTTTTAGGAAGAAGGAGGAAAAGTTGTTCCCATTTTCATACTAGTTTATCCAGCCCAATAAACTTATTCAGAAGGTGAAACATTTAGAAGCTTTATTTACAAGTTAAGTAATTTAGATCTCGATGCAATAACATGGTTAAGGTAGAACCTTAAAGCTGCAGTAGTAACTGGGTGTTAGTGAAATAAGTTTTAAAAGTAAAAATACAAGCCCTCCTCTCTTCCCAGAGTGCCTACCAAAAACTCATCTCCTGGTTCGTTTCTCTTTTCTCCAAGCCAAAGAAACAAAAATATCAAATCTACAAAATCATGAGACTACTCGGGGTAAATTCTGGAAAATGAGAGAGTTTAAGGAGAATACAAGTTTGGGTTTCAGATTTACCTGTTCTGATCCCAATTGGCAGCAAAAAGGACTAGAATCTTCCTGCCATAGTGGTCCAGATTGGCCAGGCCCCCCGGGAAGCCATCCTTCAGCGCCTGCTTGATCCCAGGGTCGGTGGCCTTGAAGCTTTTGAACATGTCCAGGTTCTGCTGCCGGTACTCAAAGTACTGCGCCAGGAGGCGGAAGGCCTCAAAGTGATGAAACTTCCTAGCCCGCAAAAAGCGTAAGATAAAAGCATCATCCGTGCGCAGAAAGCCGATGTCCGGCCTGGTGATGACCATATCCCTCACCTCCTGGATGTCCTGGTGCAGCGTGTCTGGGTTTTCATTGAGCTCCAGGCGAGCTTTCTCCAGGGTCTCAGGGGAAAGTCCAGCTTGCAAATGAGTCATTGTTTCTGCCTGTTCCAGAGCCTTCACTCAGAAGCCCTAGTTGACTGTCCCAAAGCAAATCTAGCCTTTACCACCACACACTCCAGCCCCCAGACCTCCTGCTGCCTGTTTCCTCTCCCCTACAGGAAATTAATAGTCTTGGTATCCAGTCAAGTGCCCTGTTGCTCCTGCTTTTCCCCAGCTTTACCGGGAGGGGGGATGTAAACTTCTTCTCCCGCCCCCTAAAATACAACACCCCGGTTTGGCTCCCTCTTCGCTTTCCTTTAAAGAGATGGGAACCCCTGAAGGGATCCGCACTCCTCTTCCTGTCCTTTCTCTCTCCTAACAAATCACCCCTAGTCCCACCTGGCACGGGTGGTTCCGATCTTGGTACTGTCCTCTTCTCTTCTCTTCCAAGATATAACAAAAACAACCCCCACGCACATCTCAGCCCCTGCACTGTGAATGTTCCTGCTGTCCCTACTGAAGGATACGCCTGCCAGGGGTGGCGATGGAAATTGTGATTAATAATAAGGTAGCTCTTCAGCGCTGAGCTCCAGGGCGGAGAGAGATCATCTTTGCCAGAAAGAAAAAGAGAGAGAAAGAGGGGGGAGAAAGATTATTTCTCCCTCTACTTATTCAAAGAAGCTATTTTTAAAAGGCATATTTGTGGGATTTATTTAAGATTATTGTGATCCAATTAGGTGGAGACTCTGCAGATAACGCACCTTCCCACCTCCCCTCTGAGATACATCGTGATCTCATAAGGCACCAGTAGGGGTTCTGGTGGCGTTGGTACCAGTGTGGGCTCCCTCAACCCCACCCCCAACTTCTGCCTTCCTCTAGCCCTTCATTTCCACGGACTTGCCGCGAGGTGGGGGAAAAGTGGGGAAGGGGAGGTAGAGGATCGGGGATCTCTCTGGGAACGCACATTAAAAAAACGAGAAGGGGAGGGCGTTGTGGAGAATAAAATAAAAATGTCCTTATCTTTTCCATAAAACCCCAAAGCAAGAAAGAAGCAAGAGCAGCCGCTCCTACCAGCAAACCCGGAGGCGGGGTCGCTAAGCAATGCGACACTCCCAGGCATCCATCAGCCGCGGCTTCAGCAGCGGCGGCGGCGGCGACAGCGGCATCAACTCCTCCGGGCGGGATGGAAGGAGCAGAGAGGAGGGGCGGCGGCGGGGACCCAGGCCGAAGATGCGCTCGGGAGCGGCCGCGGCCACATCCTCCGCGGGCAGCCCGCCGCCTCTCCCAGCAGCAGGGGTGGGGATCACAGGGCTACAGCCGCCGCTGTCCCAGGTCCTCGCCTGGCCCTGCCATTTCTGCCTTCGGGAGAGAAGGTGGGGAGCGGGACCCGAACGCCTGGGTGGAGAAGGCCACTCGGGCGGCCACCGCCTTTGTGCGCCCTCCGGAGCAGCAGGGCGGTGGGCACAGCGGGGCGGCTGCTGCGCCGCGCGGGCCTCTCCGGGGGGCTCTCCCGAGCGGTCCGAGTCAGGCGCGCCCCTCCGGGCTGCTGCGGCGGCTCCGGCTGCTGCTGCTAAAAGAGGACTCGGCTCAGCCCAACTCCTCTCTAATTATCCCAGCACAGATCTCGCTGCGACGTAAGCACTCACTCAGCTCGCGCGCGCACTCCGCGCCTCTCTGCCTCGCTGGGGTAGGACGGCAATTTGGGTGGCCTGGAAATATCCCGAGCTCCAAGTTTAGAGTGCTCCTGGACCTCACTGCCCAGCAGGCTGCGGAGCGGGCGTCGCCGGGCCAGGCGGGGCAGTGATGCTCTCCAGCCTCCCCACGCCCCTCTCACCCTTTGTGTGCAAGACCCCAGAGCGGCCAGGAGAGAGGCTGTTGCAGACGGTAATTCACATTGACATGCATCTTCTAGTTCCTGTAGGAGGCAATTTTGATGTAGAAGGAGTACGGAAACATTTTGTACTTTTTGCATTTGTTGTAGACACAGATATTTAATTTAGAAAAGACCAGACTGGTTCCAAGGCAATGTGTTGATGATTAAGCCTCCGGAGGAACTTACATGAATAACAGTTTTTCAACCATACACTCTTCCTGTTGAAGAGGATGAAAATGAGCACTGGGGCAAATAATAATAAAATAAAATAAAAAACATAATTCTCAAAAGAAAAAAAAGGCACCTCACTCATATCTCATAATAAAGCAAATATTTCTAGAAACACATACCATCCTTCCTTCAGTTGTATAAATCTGCATATAATTATAAATGAACAAGAGTCCTTGCACTTAAGATGACTATCTATGGATTTGAGGGAAAGGGATATTTTCTATTTCCAAAGCACAGCACGTATTACTGAGCATGTTACTAAGAGCAACTTTTGATTTACAAACTGTAGAATGGGGTCTTGATTTGAAGTTAACGTTAACTCAATGCAACTAATATTTACTGAGTTCCACTAGGTGTAGGGCATTTTTCTGGATTCTGTGAATAGGAGGTGGTCTTGAAGATAGGCGCATTTTGTCATGTTCTTAACTTGACATTTCTTATCTGCTCATTTTCAGTTTCAATGACTATAAGAACCCTCAAAATACAGGCACACTTCTTGGTGTTATTCTAACAGTGATGGTGTTAACAAGAAGAAAGAAGGAAACGGGTTGTATGGCAGAACTAGAGCATTTATTAATTAAATTAATGCAAATTAATATGGGAACCAGAATAAGACAATAAATTACACACACACACAGTCATTATTCTCAAGGAATATACTTTTTAAATGGGGATGACAGAAAACAAACTACTTAAGTGTGTATACATGTGTTAATATGTGTGTTATATATATGCACTATATATAAGGTCCTTCTAGGATTTTAAGTGATTATGACTCAAGCATTCCGAATGCAATGTAAATTTTTGGTTTTCATTTAAAATATTTTGAAAAAAAAATTTGTCTAATATTTTATAGGTTGAAGAAAATTTATGGTTCATATCAACTGTATGAGGAGGTTTTAGTCATCACCACCATGGAGAGACAATTCTCCCTGCGTCTGTTCTGTTTCTGCATGTCTTATGAGCAAGGCACTATAACTTCCCTTTTTTCTAGACTATCTTTTCAAGGGTATTTGTACAGTAAATAATCTTGGGAGATATTGGAAGATAGAGATAGTACCTCCATCTGAAACAAAGCCTTGAAAGCTGTGATATCTCTCTCCTGACCAAAGGATAGGCAGGCTTATTTGAATTCCCTGAACTAGGAGCTACTCTACTGTAGTGCCACCCACTGTTTATGCCAGTATCACTTCTTAGCTCTGTAGGAATTAGAGCTCAGGTGGCCAGTGCAAGTTATGCAGATGCTCATACTGCCCAATATGCCTGAGTGACAAAACCCTTTATTTCTAAGCCAGGAGTTTTCCATGAAACTATTTCTAAGCCAGGAGTTTGCCATGGAACTATAGCCAGCTAACTTGTTAGCCTGTAAATATAGTTAAAACTCAGATATTTCACCTTGATGAAAAACCAATTGCTTATTCCTTGAGATGGACATATTAGACTATATTTTTAAGGGAATTTATAAAATAAAATTTATTTTTCTGGCCCAGTGTATGTTACAATCAATATTGAAGGAAGGCATTTTTATTATTTATTATTTACCAATAATAGAATTGCTTCAAATAGATTTATTTTAACATATAAACATAAGATAGAAACAGTCTCTATCACCCAGTAGGATTGTTGGAATATATCAGTTAGGTATATATAAGATTTTTAAATCATATTTACAAACTATTAGTGATTATACTATTATTCTTTCTCTACTTGTACATTTGAACACGGTTTTTAAAACAAAATAAATATACAAAGCCATCTAAAATTAAACAAGGTGTTTTTTCAAATGACATCAGAGCATTTGATTTTCATTCAATATTAATTTACCTTGCCAAATTAATGCAAAGTAATGTAGGAACTGGAATATGAGAATAAATTAACTAAACAAAGGATTAATTAAAGCATTATTGGAAAAATAATTAAATCAAGGGCTTCAGGTGTTTTCAAGCAACTAGAAAGGAAAGCTTGGTTTACTGCTAAATTTAAAATGAATAGAGTAAGTAGTTTACATTTTAAAACATTTTATTCCATTTATTGTTAAATAAAATATATGCACAAAAAGGGGCACAATATAAAGATGTACAGCTCACTTCTATATTACAAGCCAAACACAATATAAGTGTCCAACCAGGTTAAGAAACTGAAAATTGTCAGCAACCAGAAAGCCCCCTCCCAGCCCCTCCTAACTACTGGCCTCTTTACAACAAAGGAAACCATGCTGTCTTTATTTTAAAAGTAATCCTTGTTTTCTTTAATTTTACCAACTAAACAACTACAATTTAGTTTTTCTGTTGCTGAACTTAAATGTAATCATTCACATATAATGGTATAATTGACCTCTTTTATTCAATATTATCTTTGTGTGATTCGACCATGTTGTTGTATGTAGTTCTCTCATATTCAGTAATGATGCATAGAATTGCATTTTTATACACATGTTACAATATGTGTATCCATTCGACTGTGGAGGGAAATTTGGGTTGTTTTCAGTTTGGAACCCTTATGAATCATGATGTATGAACATTCTGATACATGTCTTTTGGTGCACATGGAGAGACCTAGGATTGAAAATTTCTGGGTCATGTGTGATGTGCACCTCCAAATTTAGTAAATAATCCCACACTGTTTCCCAAATGGTTGTTTCACCATCCCCCAGCAATAGATGAGTGTTCTTACTGTGCCATGTTCTCAGAAATCTTATTATTGTGTATCATTTTAACTTTATCTATTCTGATTTTGAACCAGGGTATTATTGCATTATGGTTTTGGTATGCTTTCCCATCATTACTAATGAGGTTAAGTTTTCACATTGTTCTGGGCCATTGGTACATCCTTTGTTTGAAGCATCATTTCAGAGATGTTGCTGATGTTTATAGTGGGGTATTGATTGCTTTAATATTGAATTGTAGAGCTTCTTTATAGATTCTGAATATGAACCTTTGTCAGTTGTACATGTTGTGAATGTCTTCTCCCAGTCCATGGCTTTTTCTTCTCACTCTCTTAGCCTTGTCTATTAATCAACATAATTTTAAATATTTTAAGTAATTCAGTTTTTCTCCTATGAACAGTACTTTTTGGGTCCTGCTTAGAATATCCCATAATTACTCAGATATTTATTCTCCAGTATTCCTTCTAGAAGTTTTATTGTTACTGCCTTTCACATTTAGACCTGCAATTCACCGGGACTGTGTTTTGTGCATAACACGAGAAAGAGATCAAGTAATTTTTTTCTCTATATGAATAACCTGTTTATTCAGTACCATTTATGAAGACTATTTATTGAAAAGATCATCATTTTTCCCTACAGGACAGGGCAACCATTGTCACACAAAATAATTTTTCACATGTGAGTAGATTGTGATTCAATATAAATTTTAAACTCCACCTTTTTTTATACAACCAATATTCCTCAGTGGTTCCCAAAGTGTAGGTCCCAGACCAGCAGCATTAGTATTACCTAAGAACTTGTTAGAAGTATAAATTCCCATGCCTGACATACTGAATCAGAAACCCTCCCTAAGATGCAGGGACTCACAAAGTCTCTGCACAGCCCTTTGAGTGATTCTAATTTACACTGAAATTTGAGAATCAACGTTTTAGATTTAACTCCACACATATCCTTTTACTCTTTATTCCTTCCTGTATCTCTGAGTTTCCATATGGTATTGATCTGTTTGTTTCTTCACTAGAACACATTGTAACGTGTCCTTTAGTACAGATCTGAGGGTTATAAATTGTTTATTTGTCTGAAAGTCACTTTATTTTACTTTTACTCTAAAAAATATTTGTTAGATATAGAATTCTAAATTAGCAGCTATTTCCTTTTAATACTTTACATATTTTATTTCTATTTTTCTGGCTTCTCTTATTTCTGTAGTAAACTTAACTGTTAATTTTTTCATTGTTCCTTTCAAAGTAATAGCCATTTGTCTCTACCTGATTTATTTTCTCTACTTATCTTTAATTTTCAGCAGTTTTACTCTATGCTTTTTATTACTTTATTCTTTTTTATTATTATACCTTAAGCTCTGGAATACATATGCAGAATGTGCAGATTTGGTTACATAGGTGTACACCTGCCATGGTGGTTTGCTTCATCCATCAACCCATCATCTACATTAGGTACTTCTCCTAATGCTATCTCTCCCTTTGCCCCCCACCCTCTAACAAACCCCAATGTGTGATATTCCACTGCCTGTGACCATGTATTCTCATTGTTCAACTCCCACTTATGAGTGAGAACATGCTATGCTTGGTTTTCTGTTCCTGTGTTAGTTTACTGAGAATAATAGTTTCCAGCTTCATCCATGTCCCTGCAAAGGACATGAACTCATTCTTTTTTATGGCTGCATAGTATTCCACAGTGCATTTGTGCCACATTTTCTTTATCCAATCTATCATTGATAGGCATTTAGGTTGGTTCCAAGTCTTTGCTATTGTGAATAGTGCTGCAATAAACATACATGTGCATGTGTCTTTATAGCAGAATAATTTATAATCCTTTGGGTATATACCCAGTAATGGGATTGCTGGGTCACATTGAATTTCTACTTCTAGATCCTTGAGGAATCACCACAGCCTTCCATGATATTTGAATTAATTTACACTCCCACCAACAGTGTAAAAGCATTTCTGTTTCTGCACATCCTCTCCAGCATCTGCTGTTTCCTGACTTTTTAATGATTGCCACTCTAACTGGCGTGAGATGGTATCTCATTGTGGTTTTGATTTCCATTTCTCTAATGATCAGTGATGATGAGCTT